AAACAGGGGCTTTATATAGTAGATATGCAATTTAAAAATCACTATGTCATAGCATTATGGTAGGTACAAAAGCCAATGAGGCTTGTGGTGTTTGTATAGTTTTTTCTTGGTTGTTTTGGTGTTGGTGTTTTTCTTTGTTATGTTGGTCGTGCGTGGCCATCGTTTTAGCTTGGGCTTTGGCCTTGGTAGCACTTAATCCCGCTTCGGAGGGCATTGTGTTGGAGGTCTTTCCTCCTTGTACCGTTTGCTATTATGATGATCAATGAAACTCGTTTCATCTTCAAAAAAAAAAAAGCCAATGAAAATGATTTGGACTTTGATATCCCAATTTGTCATCCACTATTTACCAAAATACCCTCCATATATTATTAATCCTACACCTTCTTGAAAATGTACTCAATCCGATATTGTTTGACAGAGGATCCTACTGTTGCAGCAATTTTTATTTTTATTTTTTGGAGAAATTTCATTCCGAAAATCTCTAAAAATTAGATAAAAATGGCCTCCAAACAAGCGCCTAATTTCAGAGGCAGAAAATTTTGTGGAAAATATAAAAGTAATTTTATTCTGAATAAAATAAAAAAGAATAAAGAATAAAAAATACGTATTCAACATGACAAGGTTGATTGCATCAGCTTCTCGTGCGTGAAATATGCTCATGATTGGAGATGATCCATTTGGTTCTTTTCACGTCAAAATGAAGACTGAAATGAAAGCTGTACAAAAAGACATTCAGCATTTCTAACTAAGCTATATGTGCAACCTTTTGGTACGTTCACTTTGACAGCCCATGGGGTAGGCCCCCTGTTTTGGTGGCCATTTTGTGCTTGTTTGTCAACCATTATAGAGAAGAAAATGGTGTAATAAATAGTATTTTTTAGAAAATATGTGATTGAAATTGAAAGAAACTTTATCGGTTTAAGTGTAGAATATTTTATTATTTGAATATGTGATAGACATTGATTACTGTAAAAACAATTTTTTGAAAAATGGTAGACAAAAAGGGGCTTCAGTTTAAAAATGGCCACCAAAACAGGGGTTAGATTTCGTTCAGATGTGGGCAAGAACCTCTTTATGTTCTACGGTTCTGTATTTTGTGAAAAGGAGCAATTATTCTCATGAATGCTTGCTACCGTCTGAATGACGCCAGTAGTTTTTAAATTTTAAAAACATAAGGGCATTGCTATGATGCTGATCTCTACTCGCAAATCTTGGTCAATTCTTTCTTGTTAAACTACAATTTTCTGGTAAGATCTCTACAACCATCAATCCCAATTCCATAAGTGTGATTGAGAAGTATACTATGCAATACTGTGATTATTTGCAGCTGCATCTGTTTTCCCAAAGGTTGAAGTTTGTTGTGATTCAAATTGAATTTCAGCTTTCAAAGGGATGGCCAGCTTGTCTTCACAGCCCGAGGATACTAACGCCGGAAAAAAGGATCCTGGACCGCTCATGCGGCTAATCCTTCAGGCAGCAAAGGACAAAAGTGCTCCGAGTTCGGCGTCAATGGAAAGTAAAGAACCTGAGAGTTCCCAGAGTTCGAAGGCAGTGGAAACAAAAGAATCGAAGAAGGATCTGAACTGGTACTTGCCACTGTACAAAGCTGCTTTACAAGGTGATTGGGAGAGTGCCAGAAAATTCTTCGACCAAGACCCTGATGCAGTTACTGCTAAAATTACTAAAGTTTCGGAGACAGCACTACACGTTGCAGTTGGGACGGGAAGGGCCATACATTTTGTCAAGGAATTGTTAGAGTTGATCCCAACTGAGGCCTTGGCGACTCTGCGGGATCAAGTTGGTCAGACTGCCCTCCACTATGCAGCCATATCTGGCAATGTTAAGGCAGCACAGATACTAGTGTCCAAGAACCAAGACTTGCCAAATGTACATAGTGACACATTAGTTTTCCCCATCCATTCGGCCGCTCTTTATGCCAACAAAGATATGATTTCATATTTATTAACTGTCACAAAGGATGACAAGGATCCCAGTCCCTTCGCAGATAAATCTGGTGTAGATCTTCTGAATCTTGTTACTCTTGCCGAATTCTATGGTAATGATCCTGATATGTTGAGTTTTTAAAGAATTTGAAGAATAATAAAAAAGTGGTTATCTGCTAACCCATCAACATTTTTCATGTTCCAGATTTGGCTTTGTATCTGGTGCAGCTGTATCCTTGTTTAGCCACATTAAAATCAGCTGCTGGCAAAACCGCATTGAACATGATTGCTGGAAAGCCTTCACCATTCCTAAGGAGAAGTTCCCTTAATGTTTGGCAGAGATTTCTCTATTCATGTAGTTTCTTGTTTCCTTCCTTAATAGCTATAATTTGCCGCTGCTTATTGTGTGCTACCTTCTTATTTAGTATATGCTCAGCACTTGTTTATCCCCAAACCTTTATTTGATGGTGCTGCCGAGATTTTATTCAATTGTGTTTTTTGGTTCCTTATCACCAACAAGAATCTGACTGGAAAACAAAGTTTTATCCCACTTATTTGGCAATTGACTGCTATCCATTATATACGTACTTATGATGGTAGAAAGATTCAACTTAAAACTATGCTGGATTTAGAATTTTACCGAAATTTTTATATATGAATGCAAAGTAAACAACTGATTAAAGGTTTTCAATCTTAAAGGTCTGCCTTCGAAGTTTGGGAATATATATAGCCAAGACAATGAAAGAGTCACGGAGAATCCAGCTGGTGGCCCTCAAATATGTTCAAAACTTTGCTGCCCGATTCCCTTTTTCACAAAGCTCAAATTTTCTGGTTTGTTAGATTTGCTTCTCATTGTTGAGGTCTAAACATATTTAATTATTTCTGAAGAACTTGCTTCCCTCAGGGGCAAGGAAAAAATTAAAAAAAATGAAAGACTTTACATGTTTTGGTTGTGTACCAGGGTGCCAGAAGTGTAGATTAGTAATTTGGAAGGTTATCGAATGCTTAGGTATGAAACACCGATTTCTTTCCTAAAGACAAAGAAGGTTTCATTTAGATTAATCTTGTTTCAGGGTGAAAATTGAATTGCAGTGCCTCAAGCGAGATGTATTCGGAATGCTAGTTTGATGCATCAACAAGCACTTCAATTAGTGAAATACTTGTGCAAAGAGATTGCAAAGTTGGATTATTCAACAGCTGTTTCAATGTTTGACACGCCAATCCTCTTGGGGGCGAGTATGGGAAACAGTGAGATTGTTGAGGAGATTTTGGACTCATTTCCACCTGCAATTTGGTCAAGGAATCGAATGGGACACAACATATTTCTACTGGCAGTAACAAATCGACGAGAGAATGTTTTCAACCTTTTATATCAAATGAGCGAGCACAAGCAGTTGGCATTGCAGCTTCAGGATGTTAAAGGGAATAATATTTTGCACTTGGCTGGAAAACTGGCAACTCAAGATCAACTTAATCGTGTCTCTGGTGCTGCTCTGCAGATGCAGCGTGAATTACAGTGGTACAAGGTAGACTAAATTCAGATTGAATAACTAGTTTGTGGGGGAGGTAACTTGTTTTGTTCTGAATGGAGATATTCATAACTTGGAAACCTGTCGACTCATACTATTCTTGGAATATGTGGAGTCTAACTATGATGTTCATGTATTCCCTTGACCACTGATCTACCTTATGGGTTTATTGGGCATTCAAAATTATACATGATTGGTGGGATATGGTGAATTTTCTGTTATAGGGCATATTGGGCATTAATAGGTGTAGGTTTTTTTAGAATAGATTTTGTGAAAAGTGAATTATTTGGAGAATATGTGGTTAAAAAGTAGAGAAAACTCAGAAAAGTTTATTATGAGATTGAGTGGTGAAAATGAATTTGGAGAAAAATGAGTTTGACAAAATCTGTACCCAACCGGGGCTTATGTTTCTATTGAGTTGCCCACTTCCTGGTTTACATGTTATTAATATGAACAGTAAAATCTGGAGCGGCATGTGGATGTAGCTATCATGTTGAGGGTGAACCCCTATATAACTGTAATCCCGTTCGTTTATGATTTCTTTTTTCATTTATAATAGTTCAAAGATTAAGGATTAATTCTTAAAAACTAATTCATTCAGGAAGTGGAAAAATATGTGTTGCCAGAGTCCAGAGACAGCAGAAACTCCGATAGAAGAACTCCGGCTCTTGAGTTTTCCACGGAACACAGAGACTTGATTAAGGATGGGGAGAAGTGGATGAAGGACACAGCAAATTCTTGTACTGTTGCTGCAGCTCTCATTGCAACGATAGCTTTTGCAGCTTCCATTACTGTACCGGGTGGAAACAATGGTGATAATGGCTTCCCTATTTTCTCTGCAAATACGGCATTTATTGTATTTGCTGTTTCAGATGCGCTCTCTCTCTTCTCCTCGACTGCTTCCTTGTTGATGTTCTTGTCCATTCTGACTGCACGGTATGCAGAAGTTGATTTTCTATACTCCCTCCCGAAGAGATTGATAATCGGTTTGGTTACCTTGTTCCTCTCCATAACATCCATGATGATAGCCTTCAGTGCCACACTATATCTAGTTTTCGGTAAGAAAAAGGCTTGGACTCTTATTCCAGTAGCTGCATTGGCCTGTCTACCGGTGACCTTGTTTGTGACATTGCAATTTCCACTCCTCATGGATATGATTCGTTCCACCTACTACCCCGGAATTTTTGGGAAACAACAAACTTCCAAACGTCTTCTTTTCTAGATCAGCAAATATAGTCGCCATATCTGTGTCTTGAAGTTGCTGTGTATGGAGGAAAAGTGAATCAAATTATATAGGCTATTGTCTGTACTTGCATGAAATAGGAATTTTGTAATATTTATTCAGACTTGAGATAGTAACGTTAAAATTTGACGTGAAACCTCTTGAATTCGCAATGGTTTTACGTTATCTTGTGACTAATGGCAGCTCACAATAGCTTGAGGAAATCTGATATGTTAGTTCATTACTGTAAAAATGATGGCAAAATAGCATCTGTTAAGTTCAAAATGTAATCTTTTTGCTTATAGCACAATGCACAACAATACACAAGCTTAAAGGGTAATCGCCCTGAAAATCCAACAATAAGAAAAGGCCATCCTCCATTCATTACAAGCAAGCTCGGCTGCTAAGCACACTAGAAAAGATTTTCTAAAGCAATTTCCGAACAAATCTTCGCATTGCTATTCTTATTTGTTGGTTTAACATTTCTCCGTCCTGAGACTGTATCAATGCAGTTACGCTTTGAGCTAAATTCTCTTTGGTTTGTTATAAACCAAACATATCCCAGCCAATTCTCGTCTCCAAGGATATATGCTACCATGCACTTTAAAGAATCTATAGCAGATGGAAGCTGGTCCGTTGTCTCTTCAGTATGCTGCCACCATGCATAACTCAAAGAATTATCCTTGGTAAAACAAACATTTGAGGACAGTCGTAACATTCCTATCTTTCACTTTATCTCTATTACTATATTTATTCTGCAAGTTCATTGAATGGAAGCATAGCTAAAAAAATTATTCTCTCTCCTTGCTCTTTTGACCCTTCTCATTAGTTCAGTAGCAATATGGTTCGGGCGTTAACTAGGAGCAGAAGGAACTGATTGCGTTGGATCCTGATGCACATCATAAATCAACAATTTTATGCCTAGCAGCAACAGGATTGTGGCACTAAAGGTGCCAGCCAAAAAATGTAAACAGAGGAAAGTTATATATCCATACTGCCTGATAACTCGTCACAAGATTTGCTGATATAAATGGGTTGTGAAATATTCATGCAACATGCTTGATACGACAGAGTCAAACTCAACATTACAATCAGTAAATTTGTTAAATACAATTCTCACTTAACCCTGTTCAATCCTCGGTACTAAAAAACCCTTGCAGGTTTTGTTTAAGGCATTGCATTTTTTATTATGACAATGCAGTACATTTGAATTTATACATTGATAGGGTGCAGTTTCTAAAGAAAATACAATTAGAAAGGTTCACACAACAGAAGCAAAACTTTCATCTAGCCCCGGATATATCAAACAAGGATTTTTTTCGCTTACCAAAAATTCCAGGGCCATATGTTGATCTGATCATATCCTTTAGAAGAGATAATTGTAAGGGCAAAAACAAGGTAACTGGAAGGCAGGCTAACACAATGAGTGGAATAAGGATCCGGGTATTTTTATGCCCGAAAACAATATAAATTGCGGCACTGAAAGCAATCATCATGGTTGCCAAGGAAAGGAGCAGATTAAGAAGACCTAAGATTAACTTATTTGGAAGTGTGTGTAGAAAATCTGCTTCAGCACAGCGTGAAGTGAGAATGAACAAGAACATCAACACAGAAGTAATAGATGTAAATAAAGAGACTGCATTTGAAATGGCAAAGATAATAAAAGGCCTTTCCTTTTCGAAGATGGGTATTCCACTCTCACCACTACTACCACCTGGAACAGTTATGGCCGCAGCGAACACAACTGTGGCAATGAGAGTTCCAGCAAATGTGCAAGATTTTGCAGTTTCTTTCAACCAGTCTTCTCCCTTTTCTCTCAATTCCTTGTGTTCCTCAGTAAAAACCATAGCAGGTATCTTCCTATCAGAATTTTCCTTCCCGTTGTAGCTTGGTGTCACAAATTTTTGAACCTCCTGCATGAAAGCCACAAGGTTGAGAAAGATCATTTTATAGCAACTTTCGAAATTCCATAAGAGTTGCAAAATTTTGAATACGCAAACTGTTTAGAAGCCTCATTCAAAGTATACTAGTAAGACACACGTGCAATGCACGTGCCATAATATAGTTGGCTATATGATAGCGTAAATATTAAAAAAAAATTATTTGTCTTAAGTATTAATTATATTAAATTTAAAACACTTGAAATGATGATAGGTGACAAAAATAATATTAAGAGATTTGATTCAAGCTTATTTTCTAGACTTTGCGTTTGTGTAACGACCCGGCTTCTCACTGGAGCCATTATCTTACGTACTGTCCACTCTGGGGTGGGCTAGATGCTCCATCGAAGGTAGGAGGCTTATGCCTTCGAAATAACTCAACCATTGAGACATGAGTTAGGTGAGCCATAGGAGCGACTGGTAAGGGTGGAGCTTGATTTTGATTCCTACCAAGATCTTGAAGGAGGTCTCTAATCAGGTTGTTCTGGACATTTTCCTATGGATAAGATGTAAGGTTTCTTATTAACTTCATTTTTGAATACCAAAGTATTGGTGCCAGGATTCAACTTAAGTCTCCCATATGATGGAGGTCTTGGGTTCGAATCTTGGGGGACGCGTCAGAAAGCCGTGAGGGGATAAGTGGGCAGAAGCCCACCCCGGAGCGGACAGTTCGTAAGATAACGGCTCCTGTGAGAGGCCGAGTCGTTACAGTTTGAAGGTCTCTCTGTTCTTTTTAAAAAAAGATAGGGCATATATGATTAGGCGTTGATGCCCTGCTAAAGAGATAATGAAGTTCAACCTAGCCCTCATTTTTCTACCTATTGAGGTAATGCATTATGTCTCCTTCGTCTCGTGCTCATAGAATCTCCAATTACATGTATCAATTGCACAAGTATTTAATTTTTTTACCAAAACCCCATGTAAGACGTATGTAGTGAAAACTAATTAATTCACGATAATACAGTGCAGAATTTAGGACAAATTAAGGGTCTGTATCAGTATTAAAACCACAACACAATGAAAACTTCCATCATAGAGGCAAA